GAAGTATATACAAACTTCATAGCATGTCAGTTGCATATGACTAAACGAACACGGTCGAACAAGGCAGCTGATAGCATCTTTCTTCTTTAATCTACCATACCAAACATACCCTTAAATCAGCCTCAGTGGTTTTCTTAAATCTCATAAATACCATGTCTGGTCATTGTCCTAACTCCAAACACTAAAATTTGTTTACACAAGTTGCTGCTTTGGGAAAAACTAAAAAGATAAAAACAATCACTGAAAGTTGTCCAAAATGCATTTTAAATTGCTAGAAAAGCAGAAAAGATGATAATATTTTTATTAAAGTAGGCAGTCTGACCTCTTTTCTGCACTTGGCCACTGTGGCTTCTTGCTGCTGTATAGTGAAACACTGAAACTGACATGTAATTCTGCTTCACAACTGAAAGTGGAGGTGCCTTTTCAATAGCCTATCCAAAAGAGAAATTGAAGAAAAATCTTATGGAAAAAGCTTCCAAAAGCAACAGAGCAAGCATTTATACTATTGATTGAGGCATTCAAAAGATGAATAACAATTCAAATCAACGACTGATTGTAACACGAAAAATAGAAGGATGTAAAAGATAAAGACATCAACAATACTTACATTCTTCCCCAGTTCCTCAATGATCAATCGAGATTAGAACGTATTTGGAAAAAGAATTATGCTTTGAGACAATAATTTGAAAATATACAATATAGATTTTACATGGTAAAAGAACGTACAAGCATTCGAGAAAACTCTTTAAGCTTTACAAAGTTTCATCGTCCAAAAAATGTTATCCAGGCTTTATGTCTCGTCCAGGATTGCTAACTTAGACTTGCTTGATTAATCAATGCATGAAAAAGAATGGTTGCTGCAAATAAATTATAAACAGCAGTAAGTGATTGCTGATTACCCTCCATGGTTGCTTAAAATCATTTTCCCAGGGGGTAGTCTGTTTCGTATTTATTTAAGATTTTTCGATTCCTTGTCAGTCACATCATATTCCCAATCACCAATTTCATCCATAGAATTGCCTCTGCTATGGTCCTCAAGTTCCAGCTGCAATTTTAACCTCGACAGTTCTGCCTCCATATCTGCAGCGGACTTCTTTTGTTTTATTGTGAAAGAGTCTAGATTCTCGACCCGTGTGAGCTCTGGTATTTCAAAGGTCTGATTGCGAGTTAATGATAGTCGACTTACGGGACTAAGCCCCATTAATGTCCCTCCACTATGTCCCTCATTTTCCGAAGTTGATTCCAGATTGAACTCTAGTTTGTCATTTGGAGGCTGTCTTGGAGAAAGAAAAGGAATTCTTGGGGTCTTAACCTTTGGAGGCGTCCCTTCACTTGCAGTTGGGTTCTCAATTTCCAAAATAGGTCTCTCAATGGATTCAAATTCGTCTTTGATACTGTTAAGTGCCTCTAATAATTCATTCACTCTTGAGTCACTTCTCCTGTATAAGAAGGAGACATGTTTTCCCATTCAGATTTATATTGTACTCCACAAGGATACTAGTGGTCTTATAAGCATAATAAAATTCAAATGAAAGATAACACAACTGACCTTGAAACGTTGTCATCTTCCATGCAGAACTGTTTCTCTATGCTTTCTACTACGCTGAATGTGGTCAGAAACTGCAAATTTGAAACACCAACCCACCCAGCAAAGAAAATAAACGAAAAGAATGGCCTTTTAGACATACACATTCAAAAGAAAATGGGACACTTCTGACTACCTGAGATAATTTATACCTTAGTCTCCATAGCCTGGTACTGTTCTTCAAGACTTCTCCTTGAATTAAGTTCTATTCTTTCCTCTTTCATAAAAGCTGTTGTTCCTAACCTGGCAGAATCATATATTAGAAGTGTGCTTCAAGTTGACATCAATATCCCGTGATCAAGTGATACCTTTTCAAATTCTCCACAAGCTCCCTAGTAGCGGAAATAGAAGGCCCCAACTCTTCCTGGTGAGTCCATGACATAATTGGAAGTAGAAAAACTAAAATATTTGTATCATTTATTGGCCAAATGTAATTGTTGTGACAATTAATTATGTACCTTGTAGGTAGATAAAAGGCTTATAGCCAAGTTAATGAAGTACTCTTCGTGTTTCTCCAATTCCTCACTATACCATTTTAAAAACTTGACAATAAGTAAAACAAGGAATATAAAAAGATCAGGGTGAAAATTATGTATATAACCTGGGAAGTATGGATACAAAAAGGTGACGTTGTTATGTCACAATGAGGGACGAGGATGCACTAAAGAATTTTCAAATACTATATTACATATATGTCTAGTAGAACATGTACATCCCCTCATTCATAGGCCTTGTGTATTTACATATACCAAATATATTTACCATCTTCAAAGAAAATTACAGTTAACTCCCATTTTATACCATATATAGTTCATTTTATATCAAATAGTTGAGTGTCACAGAAGTGTCCAATATGTGTTCCATGTGTGTATACTAAAAGGTTGCTTTTATTTTTTATTTTCGTCAGTCAAAGGAGTGTCAAATATGTGTTTAAAGAGTATATGAGCGACATGGATATGACATGTAGAACTTGGAGATGTGGCTTTCTCAAGAGTGTCCATGATTCTTAAATGAAAAGAGGAGAGACATGATATTATCCTGGTGGTAACTTAGGCATTCGGATTAGAATTGATAGTTTAGAGATGACCTTAAAATTAGAGAAAGAAGAACCTACTTGATCAGCCTCTCCTTTTGTTCAGTGTGTGAGGACTGGAAACTCCAAGTATGTTCAAGAAAATTAACAAAGCTGTTGCAAACATCTGCTTCTGCTCTATATGAATTAATAGATCTTGACAGCTCATCCTCCTGAATTTAGAATTATTGCTGGAAATAATTAGAGTACACAGTCGAATTTCATAATATGGGAGACTTGAGTAAATATATTCCAAGTTATTAGTGAATGCATTTAACATTGGGCAAATCAAAGCTTGCAAACACTATTTTACCTTTAACTTGAAATGCTGAAGAATTTGATTACTAGCTTCATCAAATTGATCTCTTTCTTCCCTGGCATTGTGAAGACGGGCATGTGCAGAACTCAAGGTAGTGTTAACCTAAAAAGACTCATTAGACATGACACAGTTTAGTCAAGATGGAATTATATACAATTATAATTTGAATGGCTAGATAGATATTTTATAAAATTACAGAAATCTTGACCTCTAAATTATATGATGTTTCTGAATTTTATTTTTTTAACCTAAAGAGTGATGCCACAAACCCTTCACCCCCCAGTATTCACCTTTAGGAAGGTTTTTTAAATCTTAACATTTGCATGAAATTTCAAGCAAACGACACAACAGTGCTAATTCCAGATAATGCACTAAGGCACTGAAATCCTATAGAAGTAGAGAGGATCAATCATTCTGGGTTTTGATCTTATTGTCCGCAACTATTAAGGCAGTGATATTGGTAGTTATATAGATATTATATCCTTGCCCTTACCTATTTAACATTATATCTAAGTGCAACCCATCATATAGGACGGAATATCACAACTAGATGTAGATGATGCAACAATATGAAGACAAAATTTCACTTTAACATCATTTCTCAAACAGACAAAGCTAGGGGAGAGAGAGAGAGAATATAAATACCTTTTTCAACTCTGCTTCTAGTTCATCTTTTCGTTTCTGAAGTGATTCAATTTCAGCAACAAGGTCCTGGTAAAGGTCTATATACTTAACCATCTTGCATACCTCATCAACAGAATGAGATATAAAGCAAGCAATCTAAGTACTGTGACTAAAATATCAGCAGCATGTATGTATTCGTGACAAATAAAGACCAACAAGCTAGCAACACCCTTTAAAATACATTGTCCAGAGTTCAGGCATTTCTCCTTTTCACCATTTTCAATTTAGTGGGAAACATACCGTTTGTTTGTTTAGAAGACCATTTCAGAGAAATTTCTATATCAAGTTCAAGTCTTTCACTTATTGAATAGTGGCCTGTAAGTATCAGTTAAAACATCAAGTACTAAAGCATCAAGTTTGTGCAAATAAAGGTTCTAATTACAAGTACACGTACAAACTTGGTGTATTGAAATAGAAGTTAGGAAATAAGTTTGCCATAACAGTTATATCAGGAGGTCAACTTAACAGAAGACATCAAATAATTAAAAATCAGAGGCTCACAATCAATTAATAATGGGACTCAGATGTGCCTCTTGCTTCTGACCATTTTGGAGTTAAAATATGTAGATTTCCCATGAACATAAAAATTTGTTGAGTAACATTTTACCTTTTCAAGCTGGCTGACTTCACTAGCTTTGGCTATACGAAAACTAAGAGCCTCCTCTTTCTGTAATCTGTTTGCATAATAAATAAAACATTTAAGAGAAACATTAAAACTTGTCTGCTGAAATACATGTATGAAGAAGTAGCAATATTTGAATTTGATCCAAAAGGTTAAAATTTCTAGGAAGACTACAAATGTCTTCTCTTCCAAATGTAAATAACCACCGCAGCTTGAGGAAAAAATGTCTTCATATAGATATTGTTTTTTAAGATAAGAAATTATAGAAGTTTATTGATAGAAAGGAGGACATATCTAAAGTGTGAGGACTCTCAGAAATGCAGAAAATGAAAACTACAAAAGAACTGCTTCTCAACCCCTTTGGTAATATATAATCTTCTAGATAAGATACCAGTTGGGAACAAAAATAACACAGAAACTCTTATCCAGGAAGATTTACACAAACCTCTGATTTTAAAAAAATAGTCTTAATGGCTCTGTGAGAATCAAATAAATTGAAGTTATCCAATCAGATATCAGGTAAAATATTTTCGTCATTGTCATTTAAAACTGATGTTAAAATTTTTTGAGCAATACATAGATCAGGAGGATGAATAAAGCCATCCAACCTCCATGTAATATGATTATATGAGATTTATATTTGTATAATTCAGAACTTGAAAAAAATTATGGATTAAAATATTTTTTAATCCTTATTGGCAGCAAACGACAAAATCCATTTTAGGAGTAAACTTGTATCACTGGTCAAGCAAAGCAATTCGGGCTACAGTCCTTATTTTAATTGTCACAAGATCAATCACGATGAGTGAAGAATGAGAGACCCTGCAGAACATGCAAATTCTAGGATACCTCATTACCGCTGAACAAAGGGAGACTGTAAACTTGCCTTCTTAAATCGTTATTTGTTACTATAATCATTGGTAAGATTGCTTTGACATAATAATCAATGGCCGATATTTGATGATAAAAATGTCTGGCAAACCTAGCTTAATCTCAAACAGTACATGATCCAACAATGGTTCCCAATAGTCCCCCCAAATTATTTGACATGATTTTTTTTGTATATTTTCACACCGTGAACGAGAAAATCCAAATTAGTCGAGCCATGACACCCTACGTAGGTCCACTTGTGCTGTCTAGTTTAAGGCTCACAATCATTACTTTATAGGTACCGAAGAAATAGTAAACCAAGATATATAACTTATGACGATTAATTATAATACATGGGGCATTTCTTTAGTAATTCTGTTAGCTGGCAAAAACTTCACATGCTAGTGATCTTGGGCCAGTAATATCACCCATATTGTCATAGTGTATCCCTAGAGTGATTGGAAGGAGGAGACCGTGCATATAGGGAAGATGAGGACAACTAGACACCTGTGTTCTGAAATGCGCTTTTCAGCTTTTGAGACAGAGCTTGCAAGAGATTCTGATAATACATTTAGCTTATCAACCTGCACAGTGACTAAAGGAGATTAAGATAACAATAACAGGCATGAAGAAAGCAAAGAACATTACCCTACCAAGCTATGTGTAGTATGCATATTTTCCCCGACTTTGGGATCAAAGATAGAAATATCTACACATTATGATAATGATTTTTACCTTTTTTTCTCTTTACTATTAAATACTATTTAACATATGGTTTCAAGATATGGCCACCAGCCAAATTCAGTTCATTGGTGAATATTCCTAGGTTCGAATTGCATGGAGATTCTATACTTCGATACTAAACTAAAATTTTCATGACCATTCTTTCCAGACAAAAGGAATAGCATTAATTAGGTGATATACCTTTTGTGAATGAACTTTTGGAGAATCTCCATTCTTCAAGAATTTCTTCTGCAATATGACCTCCTTCAATCTGGAACAAAATCTGATGTGTGCAAGTGCTTCTTTCAAAGCCTGTGAGAGTGCGAAAAAAAAATTGACTTCAGTGAGTTAAGAAATTTCACTCATTATCTTCTTCAAGTTACCAGCAGCTGGCCAAGAAAACAAGACAATTGAGATCGAAGATTAGAGTATTAAAAATTATTTGCTGAAGTGAGTTTAATTTCACTCATTTACAGCTCTATTCAGTCATTTTCCATTTCTTTAGACCTAAGGAGAGTAGCAAATGATTGGTCAGCATAATCTGAATGCCTTCAGATGAACTCTTGTGTTCTATGTGATAACTAAAGCTTCACAGCAATAAGCATAAGGTCATGATGATCTTTGATAGTAACAGGATTATATGTTCAATAACCCTTAAAAATCATCTTATTTTGTTTCAAGCAGAGTGGCTGATAACTAGATGGGCCATTTTGAAGGAGACAACAAATTTTTTTTTTGACCTTTCCCAGTTTCTAGGAAACATTAAGTATGCATAAATCTTCGAAAACCCTGAAAGATAGAAGGATTCCATGTAAAAAGCTAGTTTTGCAAATTATAGTGAGCACTGAAATATATGAGATGTTCAGTAACAACAAGGCATTAAAGATCGGAAGATGTGAGACTACTTCTGATTTCATCTACATAAAGGAGGTATCAATATAACCTATGCTGGAAGATATTTCCTTCTAAAATACAACTTTGAAATAAAAAGTTAAAAATATGGATTCATCAAGCTTGTAACTGATGCACCCATAACTCGTCTTAGTTAGCACAGAAAATTCAAAAACAATGGACAAATAACACCTAACCTCTGCTGACATCTCAGATTCTTCGGATCCGCCTTCACTTAGGGGCAGCTGGTTTCTCATTTCATCTAGTTTTTGATGTATGTTTGAGACTTCAGAATCTATTCTGAGAATATATGATATGAATAAAGAAATAATTGGAATGGTAATTTTACTGCAAGAGCAAAGGCATAAACATGGGCATTACATACATAACTGTGTGACACAAAGAAACATAAAACTCAAACATAGGATCATTGTCTCAAATAGATTACTACTAATTCAAGGTCTTCAAAAGGAGAAAAACTTCTTCCCAACTCCGCAACTAAAAGTATAAGAAAACGGTTACTTGAACACCAACACATCAACAGAGTACTAGATTCAAGTTCAATCCCCAGAAAGCATATGGGCACCTCCATGTGTTGTTTTAAAAATGGTGTCAAACATCTCTTTTTCCTTTGTGTCTCCCATTTGTTAAGAAAAAATCTTTTGCAAAGTTAATCATGAGTGGTTAAAATGCAGCAACAGAAGTTGAATCTTGTAAAAAAAAGAAAGAAAAAACTAAAAAGTTCAAGAATATTATATAGAATAGCTTGAATAATACTCAATATGAGTTGTGTTTACGACAAGTCTTGCCTGTTCTTGTACAGGCATTGGAAGAAGAGGTAATATCCTAATTCCAGTAAACTAAGTAAAAGATATTAATCTCCAAAAAGAAACGAAAACAAATAACCTATTTCTTATAGAAGTACAAATCTTATCACCTAAATACTAAACTAATTGAATCCTATAAATAATGGGAATCCTAATTACCAATAACATTCAAATCCTAAGACTAGTAATAATTTATTTCTAATAGAATTATCCTACATCAGTTTCCCCACCTGAAAAAACTCATCCTCGAGTTTTGTTGAAGAAGAAAAAGATAATGAATCATGAGGAAAATACTTCAAAATTTCTACAGTAACTAATATTGAAGAAATGTCCATCTCTTAATATGTTCTATAAACATTGTTGTATTCATCAATTGCATTGGTTGTAGTCAATTTTTCTCCTATCTTGATTTTTTACCTCACGGACACTTCCTACATGATATTCCTTCATAAACAATGCATGGTTCAATATCTCTTCCTTGAGTCCACTAACGATCGAGGCAACTGGTGTTATTCTCAATTCTTAATGCTTCTTATACAGAGAAATTGGCATGGGGACTCAGATCCATACGGTCCTTCATACATATGTAATTGGAAAAGGTGAAGGGAATTTTTATTGTCAATTTGACAAGCCTTACCTTTGACTCCTTTATGATTAGGAAGTTTAGTTCCCTTTTCTTTGGTTAAGCATTTTGTAACTTCAACTTGTTCATTATCAGAGTACAACTTGAACTTGGGGTCTTCAATTGCTATTTCACCATAATGTTTTTCATCCTTGTGCTTGTATTCATTGTCAACTTTCATGTATCGGGTCTCGGGATTTCAACTTGTACATGTGTTTCTACCTCTATTGCAATATGACGGTCGATAACATCCTATCATCTTGAAAGATATCTTTTCCAACATCCTTATAAATACTTTTATCTTTCTTTACACAAGTATTCACAAATTACTTCATAACAAAACAATCTTCTAGAGTACCACAAAAACATATATGTGTTGCCTCTGAATCTACATTATAGTACCATGGTTGTCCCCAAAGTATATGGAAATAGTCCGTCTGTACTACATTCCACACGATCTCATCTTTGTAGTATTTTTAAATAAAAAGTGAAATTTTACATACCACTTTTTTTTGAAATTTTCGTTCTTCTTCAACTAGTGGAACTTGACAGCAAGATGAATACTTTTCCATATTTAAACTTGAAGCTTTTACAAATGTTGTGGATACCATGTTCTCAATACTACCATGGTCTATGATAACCTTGCATACTTCGTTTTCGATTGTGCATCGTATTCTAAAAATCGTATCACACTTCAAATTGGGCTACTTTATATCTCCCCTGGTAGATCGCCAAAATCGGAATCAACATGCTTGGGGTGGTCTTCTACTGAAGCAGGTAGCCATCCCCGGAGATTGTATCTGACTTCAATGATGAACACAACTAAGATATGTCGAACATCTTGAAGAGCTTTGTCAACATGTCGAGCCATTGCTCCATGTTTTTGAACCTCAATTCGTTGTAGTGGCTCTGACTCCATTAGTATTGACCTTGGCCATCTAGTCAGGTAAAAATCCTAGTTCTAATACCAATTTAGTGCAACAACGGAAGTTGAATCTTGTAAGACAAGAAAAAAGCTAAAACGTTCAAGAATATTATATAATAATGAATATGAGCTATGTTACAACTAGTCTAGCCCTATTCTTGTTTAGGCATCGGAAGAAGAGGTAATATCATAATTCTAGTAGACTAAGTAAAAGAAATTAATCTCTAAAAGGAAAAGAAAACAAATAACCTATTTCTAATAGTAGTAGGAATCATATCAACTATGATAATGAAACTAATAGAATCCTACAAATAATAGGAATCTTAACTACCAATAATATTCAAATCCTAAAACTAGTAGTAATAACCGATTTCTAGTAGAATTGTTCTACATAATGTTGCACGAAAAGAGATAATAAATTGACCTGTGGTTAAACTAAGAGAAATCCTCAATGGAGAGATATAGCACAAACTGAATGAACTTAGGTAGCGGTTCATGAATTGCTTTGAAAACACCTTAACAAGAAGAGAATTGTCCCAATTAATGAAATCTGGAAGCTCTTGTGCAGGGTTTGAATCCTCATTGGATATTTCAGGGTGGGGCATATGAAGTTGGACATATTTTCAGAGTAAAAAACAAGGCAAATAAGGCACATAATAAAAGATAATCTGATATGATATTTCCACCCGCAGATGCTCCCCCAATAAGAAATTTAAACTCTTCTTCAACTGGAAAGAATAGGTTTTCACAATATAATATTTTGGTTTTGGATTTTCCTTTCATTTCTGAAGTATTCCATGGCGTGATTTAAGGAGTAAGGTGCTAACATCCCACTCACCCCCGACCCACCCTGTGTGCTATAACCTTTTTGATGAATTAATAAAATCAATAAGGATTAGGGGTCCATCCCTAAACCTCACTGCAGACACATTTCTCTCTTGACATAAAGGAACTCAAATAATAAAATTACAGGAGGTATGCTCTTAACCACCTTACTGTCTCAACATTTACTTTCAATCCGGCTATAGCATCTTGTGCATATTGAAGTAGTTCTTCCCTCTTTGCCTGAAATCAAGAAAGGGCAATGGAAAATATCGACAAATGCTTCAATTTCTTAATTGAGCATCATGGTTAGTCATGCAAGTGAAATTATTTAAAGCATGCGGTTAAATAACCTTACCAGCACTTCATCATTGTAGATTGCGAAAGATTTTGCCAAATCTTGTAACTTGTTCATAATCGCAGTATGAGCTTCCTTCCTGCCCTCGAGACACATTCTGAATGCAAAACAGAGAAGAGGAGGTAAGGGTGTGCATATTTAATTTTCACCCAGGTAGAAGCAACTTCAAAATCTTCATAATGATCAGAAATGCCCGCCCTTTAGGCCAGACCTTAGAAACTTCAAGATATTAAAGTAAATGACTAAAGTAAGAATCACCCAAATATCTCCAGAAGCAAAGAAATTTCCTCTTCATTAGGTTCTTCAAGAATCTGGGCCAGACAAAAGAGTTAGTTTGGTTTACACCCATCAGTTAAAAAGAACAAATGACAACTTAAATACTTAACTATACATGCAACTAGAAGGGGAAAAAACGAAGGAAATGATTTTATCATCCCCCCTATTAAATTATAAATCTAGTACAGAAAAGTAAGCTATATGGAGCACAAGGAAGAATGGAAGTTTTTTCATCGGAATACAGAAAATAAGAAATGGAAACAGCTGAGGTTATTCTTAATATGCTAAAACGAAGTTTAGAATCTAGAGGATGTGTCTTTAAGAAGAATGGACAGAGAGCCAGAGACAAGAAGAATCTAGTAGGGAAAGTTTTAAAATGGTTGAGAAGCCCAAAAGGCAACTGAAAACTGCTAAACTTACCATGGACAGTGTTATGCCCTCAAGGGCTTGACTGTGAAGGAAAACATCATTGAAGTACATTGGTTCTCCACCAAGATCCGGATCACAGTACAAAACCTGTCCATTATAATAACGAAATACACGTATGTGACTTATGCTAACATGGAGAGAACAAAAAGCAAAGAAAAATAACATAGAATTATAGAAAAATCTTCGGATAGGGGAAGAACGTGTAAAATACTATCTAATAGTAGAGAGGCCAATATCTGATGTAAGCTAATCGAATCTGAAAATTGAATGGGCTGAACATGGCTTTTCAGGGGCACTCAAAGGATATGATTTTCTTGATTTTTATAGCCATAATGAATTTGAGTGTCCGCTCATAACAATAGATGGAAAAAAATCTGAGATTCCGATCAATTCAAAAGGATCCGTTGGTTGATTATAAGCTAGACGGGTAGATAACTACTGAGCATTAATCATGAGGACTAAAATCATTGGCGTTGAGATTTTTTATTGTATTGCTTCAGCCTGCAATTGGTAGCCTAGAACTCTACATTTTTCAGGACAGTTTGACTGTGATTTTATCTTCTTTCTGATAAGATAATCTGAATAAAACTGACATAAGGGAAATAGTTAAGAAATAGTGTGCATTGGTGGAAGACTGAGGTGACTCAAGTTCACCTCTGAAACTTGAACAACTGTAATTAAATCACAAGAAGCAAGAGTGCAGTCTACGAGCTTCAATAGGCTATCACATTCGTTTAAAGAGCTTGTAATTCTTAAGAAATTTATATTTCAGAAAGAAAAATAAGAGACACTTCAAATACCTACCACAGTTGGCTTTGCCGGAGGCTCATTTGATTCATTGGGCATATCAAGATGCTCAGTGTTGGCAGCTTCTTGTAGTCTTTCAATCTCTTTTAAGGAAACTAACCATCTTCTTAGTAACTGAACTCTTTCTGCCCCTCTGCAAGACACAGAAACTTCTTCTAATCTTTTCACCGCAAGCTTAAAGTTTTGGAAATTCCGAGCTGCCTACAATGCCATGCAATCAAAGTATAAATATCTTTAACACCTTAAAATAATTTATGCAAAAATAATATTAATACTTTACCGACCAATTCCAAACCCAAATGAATACTCGTGTAAGCATATTCTTTAAGAAAATTTTAATTAGGTTTATATAACAATCAGAGAAATAAATTTGCCGATACAACATGTATATATACAAGATGAGAATCAACTATATTGTACTAAGTCATCATCCATTGTCCACTGATGCAAAAGGATCTTAGAAGCTTCTCCCAAACTTAAAATGTGCTCTTAAAACTCTTTACTACCGTGTAGATACATCGTATCTCAATTTAAGATTACACATTTTACAATTCTTTGTATTACATAGACTACAGTCACCCTTGTAAAAATGAAAGTGAATTTCCTGATCAGGATCAAAGTATAGGTATGATTATATGTCTAAATTATGATTTCGATTTCAAGGATGAAAATCACAGCTGGACCTGGACATAGTCTATCTAAGCTGTATCAGTAGAAAAGATTAACAAAGTAAAAAAAATTCATAATTATTGCCTCCAATAATAAATAACTTTAGTATACAAGACCTCCTGAAAAAGAACTTGACTCTGTGTGTACATATGCATACATTAGAAAATGAATCAAACCAGTGCAGAAAGTTCAGAGACTTATTGATAATATGATTGTTGCAGATTCATAAGAGATATTATGCTATTAATTTGTATTCAACAAATTTATTCAAGTAAAATGCATTTAATTATCAATAATTTTAGTGCACGCGAACACCTCGAACAGAATCGACTTGTTGTGCGCGTGTATGTATGTGATGTATACATCTAAAACACACACACACACACTGACACACACACATATATATAATAAACACGCAGGGATTAAGATTGGTTGAATTACAATGCGGTCTTGCAATAACTTGGCGCCACCGGCGACGGCCTGGCCGGCATGTTGGACGACTGTGTCGGCGTAAATGCGGACGGTGCGAGTAAGATTACTGCTACCACCTTTTTCGACCGCTTTGTTCATCGCCGATCGAAGCCACGACATATCCAAAATCTAAATGCACTGATTTGTATAATCGCTACACAAATAAAGTCTAAATTTAGAGAAAAAACAAAAGAAGGAATAAACTGATCAAACATTGGGGCGAGAAGAAAGACGAAGCTAAGAAGAGCGTTAGGGGAGTTCGAGTCTTATGCCTTTCGTTTCGCGCTCAACGGTCTTGCGAATTCCCACAAATACCCTCGGCTGCAATGTGGTCTGTGTATGACCTGTTATTTTATACTCTCGTCCCATTTGTATAAACTGGTTTTATTTTTCACACGAGTTAAAAAAAACTTATTTAATATAATTGAAAAAGTAATTTTGTCAAAAAATTTCATAGTTTACCATTACTTAATTATCAACAACCAGTAGTAAATTATTGTTAGAAGTAGTAAAGAAATTGAATGATTTAATTTTCAGGAATTAATTATTTTTATATTTGAACAATTCAAAATTAAGTAGGAAAAAATAATTATAATTAGATAAATTAAATAAGGACATATTAATAAACGAACAAAACAAAATATTCTCAATAAAGAAACATAATTGTTACAAGAAAATGAGAAAAGTCAGACTATATAAATGAGATGAAGGACTAATATTTTCAACAACTAAAATTGAATTATGCAACCAATTCTTCTTGTGTCAATTAGTTAGTTTCCAAATTCTTTTACCTTTTTTATTTGAATTTAATTTAATTTTTTTGTTAGAGAAGTCAATAAATTACACAAAAAAGTTTCAATTTACATCGTTTTCATTTATTCTTGATATAAAATAAAATAAAATAAAAACTTTCAGTACATGAGTGAAGCATAATTTTTTTCATAATATCGTCCAATCACTTGCAATCTTCCCAACCGAACATACCATCACCAAGTTTTGCGAAGAATTGCGTAGTATCTTTTAGCCTCTGACCGTTCTCACGACTCAACTACTTATCAATGAACAATCCTTGACAACGGGTAACCACAAAGCTATTATTTTGAAATTGTTCTAACAATGTTGAATATTGTGTACTCGAAAAAATAAAATAAATAAATAAATAACCATCCAAATGAAGCGCAAAGGGAAACAAGAAATTAAGCTAAGCAACAACAAAGTACTGATTTATTCATACAACATCCTAGGTTTATCATTACATAATGAGTTTTCCCATACTTTTAACAATGAGCAGGCTATCACCTATTCTACCAACAAAACTGGTGGGATCAAAAGGAAAAAAAATGGTGATGATCACAAGAATACCGATATGGCCCAATCTCTCCAACATATCTAGCAGATGGAAGCAAATCATCACGACAAGTCATCAATGGAAGGCAAGGGCGTTTTCCAGTAATTCCATGAGTTATAGTCTTCCTGAACAGGCAAGCAAGAATGTTATTACATGCTGAAAGCTGATAAATATGTGACATTCTGTTGCATTAGTACCTGCTCGACCAGTGACGTTGGTGGGAACATGTCGTTTACCAGAGTGTGCAATGAAGTATATGACTTTACGTCAATACGATTATTAATGGCTACCTCTCCCTGCGAGTATAAATACATTTATGGTTGAATGTAAATTAAATAAATGTTTTTTTTCCAGTGAACATATAGTAAGCTTTAACTACCTTGGGGTTAATAATAAAGATCTTGCCCTTTGGGATCCCAATTTTCCGGTAACTGAGTTCATCAGTGTCTCGGTTTCCAAAACCGGCGTAAAATGGATTATAATCAGGAGGAAAAAGTGCTTTGATATCCTGCAAAATGGGTTCTTATAGACTTCAAAGGATCAACATATATGGCAGAATAGTACACAAAGCTTGTATCCCTGCTATAACATTTACCTCTAAACAGGCAATCTTGAATTCGTGAGGAGCCCTTCTTATTACTGCCACCGATTAAATATTTCCGTCAGAGACACTAAAAATAAACCAAGATATCACACTCATGAAAAAAAATGTGTTGCCACATGCAAAGAAATATTTGATGATGTGCATCAAGCCCTCTCAGCAGATGGGTAAGACGGCATCCTAGCAGCTGTTTCTAAATCCAAGTTGACATTTATTCATACAACTCCAAAAAGCTCTAAAATGGAAACAAGCTCAAAAATAGTAGCCATTGAGGAAAGTCCTATATGGTATCTTCTCTTCTCCATATGATTTTTCACCAAGGACTTCAAACTAGTATTTGCCCTTTAAAGTGAAGTTCTACAGCAAGATAGAAACAACTGTAGTGACTAAGTGTGTGTTTGGATTTCATTATAATATCCTTATAAGGAGATTACAATGAGAGAAATATTGATCCCACGAAATGTATGGATAATAAGTGGGTAGTAGTTGTGAATGTGTGGTTAAAAATAAATTATAACTTATTAGGTTTCCCAAACATATAAGCAACAAATTCTTCATAAACTTACATGAGAGCAATGATATCTTTTAGGGGAAATTACATACCAATGCAACTCTAGTACAAGAAGCAAGTCCCCAACCTTCCTCGTGCAGCAATTGAGTCCCCAGACTTTCAATTTTGTAGCATGCAGGTCTCCAATGAATGGTTCCCATCCTATTGGACATTAAAATGTCATGTGACACTCACATGACATTTCAACATCCAAATAGATGAAACCACACGTTTGGCACCCATGTGCTACAAAATCAAAAGGTTGGGGACCCGGTTGCTACAAAAATCAAAGGTTGGGACCCTCCTTGCTCTATTTAAAATAGGTTGGGGATCACATCAGTAATTTTCCCAATTTTTAGAAAAGTCAATTGAGCTTCCTGTCCAAATGATTAGCTGCAGTACATAAAATTCATTAACTTCTAATGCTGTGCATTACTAAACACTTCAATGAAGATAGTGAGCTAATGAGTGGTCCTCCAAGGAAATGAAACTCACCTTCTCGGTACAATGAAGGAAATAAGCCATCCGGGGAAATAACAACAGGTCCGATGGGCAAGCTTTTGCCATCCTGCAATCATTTGAACAAATTTCACTTGATGAAATTTCATCTTCAACCAAATAATAGCATAAAAAGTGGCACTAGTGGCTGCACTCAAATAAGATGGCTTAATAGCATTAACTAGCAGAACCCAACTTTGAAATAAAGACGTGCAAATAAAAATGCTTAACAAATCACAAAGAGACCAAAGAAAATGAAAGACAACAGAGGTTATATGGAAAATTTAAATACATGAAAACCATTTTATTGATTAAATATGAAATCTCCTTTAAAACTTGAGAAAATACCGTTATGTAACATAGAAAGCCATTAGCACTCAAGGTCAGAGTAAGTATACCTGCTTAAGATTTAAAAGAAAACTTTTAGTCAAGTATGATTGAACAATTGCGCGTGCGCTCAGAAACAATAACTGATACCCATTCTCCTGCAGTAAAATTAAAACATTTTAATATTCCTAATAAATGCCATGAAGAAATTCCGATGAAATATTAAAAAGTACAGATATCTTGTAAAGTAGAACATCCAGGATCCACAAAATAACAGCAGTGGCATAAAATTGTCATCACAGAAACATCTAACTAATGAGAAGATAGGCACCCCAACTTGGAGTAGCAAAACAGAAGGATTAACAGATATTCACAGCTTGTGCAAAACTCAATGTTATATTAAATAATTGAACTCGGAAAAACGTATGGTCAAGGCCTGAGAAGCGACGAGTATAGTCCCAGTTTATGCATGAGTCATGGACTCATGAACCTTCTACTGTGCTTCAGTTGAGCCTAGTTAAAAAGGTTACGCATAAGTATAGGATTCAGAATTTTCCACTCTTTCGACTAAATAAAGGAACAACAAATTGAATATGAATCTTCTATTTAAAAAATTTATGAAGCTACCAGCAATTGTGGAACCTGCTAAAGTAAAAGATACGATGGATATATATTCTTTTTTATTATGCAACAAAGTTTCGACTGTCCAAAACAATAGTAAAATTTATACAAATTTTTAGTTTACAGCACTTAATTGATGAAAAAGCATGAGCATTCCTATACATTAACTTCTGTTTTATTTTTCAATTTTCTGTCAGGAACTTATACATAGTTACTTCATGAATAAATTGCATAATGCGTGTATTTTATCCAAGAACATAGACTAGTGTATCGAAAATGCTGAATTAACATGATTGCCTTCCCATCTCTAGGCAGTAGAAATTCATAATTTATTACAGCTCTTCCAAATGTATTCTTTCTCATACATAATTCTCTCAATGAAAGATCTTTCCCTGGTTTAGGACGCATCACACCTCATAATGTACCTCTAAAGACCTTGGCATACCAAACTACCTCCCAATACCCCCAAAAAAAAAAAAAAAATCTACTTTTTAACCAGATTATAACTTCTATAGCAACTTGAGTTGGGCATCCAGAACTACATGGGATCTTATGCTCCATAAAAGAAGAAATTAATATGTGGTAAGTTCCTTATCTGAATCTAATTTGCAACATAACGTGTCTGTGAAACACTTGAACATAGTACACTGTATATGCACCTTGGTGCTTTTTTTAGGCTCTAGTTTACCAATGCCATGGACTCGTGTTTTCAGATGTAATGAACTTCAATCAGTTATTTCTTTTGAATAGAGATTTTATTTTATTGATTTCACCTTTATTACATATGAGAATTCGGAACCCAGTCCATATCAAGCTTCCTAACTTCAAATACATGCACAATACAAACACAACAATAATTCTTATACATACATGTGTGTGTGTGTGTTTGTGTGCATGCGCATTTGGTAGTACAATATTCTAAGTCTTATTGCAAGAGCGACTGTCAATTAAGAACCCTCTTGTTTAGGCAGAATTCCAGTCAATACAAACGCCATAAAGCAGACAATTGAAATAATTGATGTGATAACCTTTATTGCACAAAAGAGACGAGCAATTCCAGAATGCGTCCAGTCCTTCCCAACCAAAGGCATAAACTGGCCAAGGACATCAGACCTGAAATATAGAAATGCAACCATGAGTCATAATCAGAAACAGACATTGACATTATGTCCTCACTACATTATCCTTGATTTGCTTGAAAGCATATAGGACCAAGAACCAGTACACATCTCCCATCACGGCTTAGAAGCTTACATTAGCATGCCTTAGATAAATGCTCATCTTTAGTTCGCAAATTATACATCCTTGATGGCTAAGCCGTTCTCCTTACACTCAACTGAGAGGGAAGAGTCTAGCAGGTAGGCTAAAGTTACCAGGGATGCTAAACCCCATGAAGTGTGAATTGATGTTGTTTAAAAATTACGGCATGCTTGTAAGTTGGAAAGCTATATAAATGAAGCTTATGCACTGTAATTCACACAACTTTGATAATGAAACAAAGGTATTTTCTCTCTTAAATTTTGCTTCCGTATGTCTAAATCTTCTTCCCTTTCTATCTCCCTCCTCCTATATTATCCCTCTCTTTACCCCCTCCTTTCTCTTCTTCTCTCTCATTTCCCCTTCTCCTGTAATTGTTTGATTGCATCCTACATCACTACCATTAAAATTGTGCAAAATCTCAAGTAACTAGAAATAACACTCTGTTTTTAACTCCTCAAATATGCAGCGCCCCTGCATACACATTTTCCTAGGTAACTGTAGCCAATCATATTTTAGTCTCTCCCATATTCTTTGACGAGCTCACTTGTCTAAGAATGGACTTTTTCTGCTTTGCCTGAAAGCATGAATAAAATATAATTGTATTTAGAAACAACATTAATGACCGGATCTAATGTGAGCCTTATAACTCAAAACAGGTCAGGCTTCTATTCTAGCATCACCATATTAAAATGTCACATTATTCAGTTCTAGCTGAATAAGGAGTACATTTCTTTCGTACATCTCTCCCACTAATTTGGAAAAACAAGATATTGCTAAGAGCACACATTACTAAATTTAAGAGATTGCTTTTCTTATAATATAAGCTATAAGGACTTGTGAAAGGCATTAAGGTTAAAGTCAGCCTTTACTTGACCAATTGTCTATGTTACAGGCATCCAAGTTTTTGATTCTTTTGTTCCCTGCAGTACAAGATGCAAGCGTACTATATTGTAACTTGTAACTAAAAGGAAGCATATGTGCATCTGCACGTAAAGAAATCTAAACTGTCATCGCAAAATAGATCGTATGAAGTAAATAAATCTTACCTGGTAATTGTACCGTCGACATCAGAAATTACAATCCGTGTATTCCACTTCCACAAATATATATGAGCTTCAACCTGTTTCAAGAAAGTGTGACTCAGTAACAAAAGAGGATATATCTAGTCCAACTGCCTATCTAAGTTAAAACACAAACACTAATCAAGGAACAAATAATAGACCTTCTGGTGTCCAAGGACTCTTGTAGAGAATATAAAATTAACCATATTCTGCCCTTCTTTGAGATTCAATGATGCTATCTGATTGGTAGTAGGAACATTAGTTCTTGTAAGTTGCTTACGCGGAGACTCACTGGCACTATGGGGTGTGGATGTTAGTTCTACAGGTTGGCTTGTTGAGACAGATTCAGAATCAACAAAGATCTCCTCATTTGATGCATTACTACTACAATGATCGAGAGTCTTAACCTTCCTAAATGGGATAGGCCAGAGTCTCCATCTGCGTCCAGAAGGAGTTGAAATCAATCCAGAATCATCTTCCTTTGTTTTTGGAGTTCCCTGTTCCACAGGAATTGCATCCTCCTGCTGAACAGGTAAATCCAAACCATAAGCTGCCATACCAAGAATGATGGGTGCAGCTTTATCCCATGGCAAGTACTTTCCTCTTATTCTAACAATTAAGTTTTCCTTCTTAACAATTGATGTGGCAGAAAGTTTAAGCTCTTCAGCTGATATGCTGTTTGCATCAAAGGCTTCTGCTGCTGCACTCAAACCCATGCCAGCAAAAAGCAAGTTTCCACAGAGAGATATCTCTAACCCTGAAGACAAGTAAATGAATGTGATTGGAGAAGGTGAGAAACCGGATTAAAAATCAATTACAACAGTGAGTCCAAGTTTATTATTATAGCCAGATGGCGTGACTTACTTGTCCCTAAGCCTGTTCTCATAGCTTCGGTTGGCACTTCAGTATCAGGTTCAATGTCTTTGGCTTTACTGCATTCATCTACAGAAGTAGGTGCTTCCTCGACACTTTGCATTCCTTTGGCTTCTACCTCTACATCCATCTGCTTCTCTGGATCCTGATCGTTGATGACATCTTGAGCAGGCTTGCTATCAGAATCCATGTGATCCATATGAAATGCATCTTTTTCATGGACTGCAACTTCAACCTGTAACTCTGCCAAAGATTCAATGCTGTTGTGTCCAAAATCTGAGGGAGATAATCCGGTATCATTTCTTGATTTTTGAAGATTTTGAGGCGAATTTTCATGTGGATCTTCAGAAAATATAGAATCATTGCTGGTGTATCCAAAATCCGAGGGAGAAAATCCAGTATCATTTCTTGATTTTTGAAGATTCCCCTCTTCACTTTCATTATTTGTCTTGCGATTTAGAGGTGAATTTTCATGTGGATCTTCAGTAACTTCAGAAATTTCAAATGAAGACTTCATACTTTGCTGATCAGCATTTGTAGACTGCTCTGCCAATTTTGGGAGCTCCAAACAGCTTTTGAATATCTCGTCCCTCTTAAAACTACTTGACATATTTTCTGAACTACAATCGAGGCAGATCTTTCTATCTTGATTAGCTGTGTTCTGAGTTTCTTGTACATGATGGAGATGCTCTTCATCTCCTTCACAAGGCCCCGGCTCGTATTTGGAAGCCAGATTGCCATTGTTTATCTCGCATTCACTTCCTGAAGTAACTTTACATGTGGTTGTATCCTGATCGCTCAAATAACCAGCATAGCATGAACATTCTCCTTTATGATACTCTTCGGTCCCTTCATCTGGACTGACCTTAAACTGAGGCATGTTTTGTTGCACGTGTTCAGTATTTCTCTCAGATGATGAAATGGGTGCTGTCAATACGCGGCCATCTACACTTACCACAACTACTTCTGAATTCAAATTCTCTGATTCTATCACATGCTGCACACTATCTAGATTGTCATATCTACTCGAACCATATTCCAATAATTCACTCAAACCCTCCCGAGATGATTGCTCATCTTGAAACTCGTTGAACATCCGCTCATGATCAGATTCAGTCCTTTCTAATCTGTCCATACCAAGAGTAACACGTTCATCTAGCACCTCTACCTCACCATTATCCAAATCCTCAGCCTCTTGTCTATGAAAACTGTTGACTGTTAAAGTATCATCATTGTAAATGTGATCTATGTCATTACTCTCTGAGGTGTCTTCAAGATTATCAGAATCCTTTAAACCCTCAATTGTCTTGTCCTTTACAGAGTTATCTTCCCGTACAAAATATGCTTCACCGGAATTATCAAGATACATATGAAAATCGGCTTCCACTCCATTAACTTCTATTTGGACAACCTTTTCTGCCCCTTTAAGAACACCCTGAAATTTACCAAACTGTACATACCAAGGTGTGCTCCTGAAGGCTCCATCGTGCTGCTTAACAACAATTATGTCAACTGCCCCACCAAACGGATGAAACGGTGCGGTAATAAAGTTGCTAACTTTACCCCCCACGTTCATTTGGCCTAATTACAAAGAATTGCCCCAAAATTTCTAAAGCAATCAATTATTCTTCAAACTAAAGATGGTATTGAGAATCAAATCAATGGTCATCAATAAAATAATCTTGAAACATCAACTGAATTTTTTTTTCATCAAACCTTGCCCAGAAAGAAGAATTGCATTCGAGATATCTGCATGCAACAAATATTGAAATCTAAATACACAATCATGCAAATCTTTCAAAAAATTATAACTTCAAATATCATTACGGGTTAACTAAAAACGCTAAAGAAGTAAAGAACATAACTTGCATCAAGAAATCAATAAATACAAAAACCCAGATAAAGATTGAAGCAATACGAAGAAACTAAAATCAAATATTCTTGAAAATGAAAGGGAAAAAAAAGGGTGATACGCACAAAAACTCACGTATTCAAGAATTAATATACTCCCAAATACTTGGTTTTTCAACAATTGATTGATAAGTGAAATGTATCACAGCTCAAGAAATCCAATATAATTTTCTACTCTTCGCATCTAATATCACATCTCAAACGAAGATTCCAAGAATATTTGCTTCTGAAATGTTTCCATCTCTAGAAAGTAGGTGATGGGCAGATGCTGACGTTTTTGTTTTTCTTTTCCTATTGAATTTTCTACTAAGGTGGTTGTGTTGTTGCGTTGCGTTGCGTCCAATTTAGAGATTTTATCTTTCGAGTTTTGGATAACAAACAAAACAGAGTAAAAAATTCATAATTTCTCAAGCAATAACTATGTAATGTTTGTGAATGGAAGAGTATTGCACGGGTAAGTTGATTTACTTATTCACGTTTGATTTAGTTAAAAAAAAAATCAATAAAAAATTAAATTAACCATAGATTTATAATTTTTATTAATTTTTTAACTACATATTTTATCAACTTTTATAAAAAAATTTACAAATAATTTAATTTTTAGCAAAATTAAAAATTTAATATTATTTAATTCAATGTACTAAGGCCCCGTTCGGGAGGAATTAAAATCCAATTAAAATTGAAAATATGGTCATTATTGGGTCCCACTAGTCTAATAAAAGTCAACAATAACGGCTATATTTTCAATTTTAATCCGATTTTAATCCCTCCCATACAAGGCCTAAATATGTCTTTAGTGCATGTCTGGTAAGGATTATTTTCAGATTTTAAGTATTAATGTTACCGTTAAAGTCCACTGGTGGGCTCCCCTTCTCTCACAAGCAGTCAAAAAAGGCTGTTGAAATAATATGTAACGGCCACAAAAATGATTTTAATCTGGTGAAAAAGTTTCACCGACATGCTCTTAATAAGTAAGAGATTTGCTAAACGTATATCGGGGTTGAAATGCATGCTGGGGTTGACGCCCCTCTCACAGGGGTGCCCACGATTATTTTATTGGTCGTGGGTCCCCCTCTTGTGAGGGGAGGACACTCCGATGTACGTTTGCATTTCTTATAAGTAAATGGTCTATACTTTTTTCATTCACTTATTCGTATCAAAATGGATTGCACGACTTCGACCAAAGCACCTGGTCTGGGCCTTAGGCAAGTCATGCCAAGCTGTCAAGCGATGATCTTCAATCCCTAGTTTACTTATTAAAAAATTAAAAGGTGAAAGTGAATTTGATCAAGCTCCTTTTCCAATTAGAAAGAGGGCAAAATCTAACTATTCAAGTAAGGTCGGAGCTATATTTAACTCGAATTATATTTTCAAGCAAAATGAAAATAAAATGAGAAGCAACTGAACATATCCACAATATAAGCAAGTATACAGTCCAAGTTCCCCCCGGGGCACATCCGAGTTGGCAAAGGACGGGCATTGCTGGGCTTGCAACCTCAGCGTGGGGAGTTCGATTTTTAGATGGAGCAGTTGAGTGATATAATACTCAATTATGAGTGGAGCAGCTTGATGATATAATATCCATGGAGGAAGGCTCCTTTGAGGCCATGAGTATAAAGGGTGCACGGATCCTGGTCAATTTGGGCATATACCGCGATTTAACTTCCGTCCATTGATGAGGGGCCGGAGATAGATGGTCTAGAACATAGTCTGTTGTAAATTGGGATACCTGGGTATAAAAAAAAAAACTGGAAAGCCATTGGCTCCTGTCAGCCAGCGGCCATGGTTGACCACCGACTAGCTCATATTTCATCAAAATTCATCATACGTTTTAGCTTTTGTATGCCAAAATGCAATATCCAGATTGCGATATCTTCAAACTGGAAGGACTTTCATGTGAATTTTGCTGTATTAAGATTCTAAATTGCAATTGGAATTACAATTGCCTTAATTTGCTATAATCAATTGCAATTACTGTAATTAATTTGAGGAAACCAGTGGTCTCGCTATCGTTTGATGGAGGTGACGGTGAGTCGGCAAAGGACGATTTCAATTATGAATGTGAGAAGAAAAGTTGAGATGGTGACCCCACTGTGGATTTGTAAGACCAAATTTTGGAGGACTTGTGCCTCTTGTTGGCTTTAAATTCGAGCAATTTAGCAAGGATTTTGACGAACCTCTCTTGTTTGCAATGAAGAACATCTCAGATCTCTAGCAGTTGAGAAGATTGTTTCATTTGGGTTCAATTTTGGTTCGAGTTTTTCTAGCTTGAGTTCCATTCCAATGGCCACTAGCCGACGAGCTTGTGGTTTTCCGATTTCGATTTGTTTAGGGTGGTCATGGTGGTGGTGGGGTGGGACGAGGTGTGGTGGAAGAAGAAGATTTTTATTTTGATTTTTCTAATTTACTTATTTTAATTATTTAATGTGAGAAAAAAAGTTACTATTCTACCCTTTTTAATTTCGTCAAATTTTCATTATTTAGGTTAACTAATGGTCTTTGGGGTGCAACAAAATGAAAGGATTAGGATTGTGTGGAGCACAAAGTGAATCTTAACGTACAGTTTGTCAAAAAATAATATGTTTGGAACTGCTACTGCAATTATCCTTTTACTTTAAACTAGTATAGTAGTTGCATCATTACTTTAGAGGGGGTGGGAGAAGGGGTTCCGGCCACATTTTCATTAATTCGTAAATAATTATGTACAAGTAATATTACTCCTTATTTTAAACTACGACGAAGTTCAATTCATGAGACCGTAGCGGAATGGAGCGGCCACCACCCAACCTTATCTTATTCCATGTTGGTTAACACGATTAATAATTAATATTAGTACCTTAAAGGTTTCGATTAATCATTCTGTTCATTGAATTTCCAACCCTAAATCACAAGATTATGTTTCCATTTCATTTTTAATGTATTCAAGTACCTTATAACTTTTGATTATTCAATATTATTCACTCACATCATACCATTGATTCAAAAATAATGTTATTTATTATTATAATGATGACACNAAAAAAAAAAAAAAGAGCTAGAAAATCAATTTCCACCCACAAAACCAAGGAAAATTTGAGCATGTGAGCCAAACCAAGAAAAGTGTATTAAACAAGGAAAAAGTGAAAGTTAGAATTTGTTTTCCATTTTCCATGAAAAATAATGGCCTATCAAACAGGCTCTAAACATATATTTCACGTGCTCTGGAAAATACTAATATTATAATACTCGATTTTGTCCTTTGTTTACTATTTCAACTATTCCTTATTTTTTTAGAGTATATTTGATTGTCAATATTAATTTTAAAAAGGAAAAAGAAAAGGTGAAAAAAAGTATTACAATGACAAAATAGTGGAAACACAAATTTTAAATCATGTAATTTTGATAGTAAATTTGTAATGATGAGATATAGTGTCACTACGATTTTTTTTATTTTTTATTTTTTGTTAAAGTTAAAAATTAAATTTTTAGTAAATTTTAATAAAAGCTAATGAAATATGTAATTGAAATATTGAAGAAATTCGTAGATCTCGTAAAATTTACAACTGAAAATGAATTCAAGAAAAAAAATTATAAAATAAGGCCAAACACGAAGTGAGTATAATCAATAATGTGCATGGAATTCAATTAGTTAGCTATTCATGATTACTATGAGTTGACTTGAAGAACAATTTGAGCCTAATTAGTTGTGAAAGTATGATTATTAAAGTTAAAAAGCTTTAACTAAAAAGTAATTTTCATAAATCTGTTAGGCACTCACTATAATTACCCCAAAATTCAGACCTCAAAATTTTATTGTCTTATTTGGGGAATTGGCGCTAATGGTCCCTTACCTATTTGATTTCTGTAAAAATGATTTAGAAAAAAAAATCATGTGTAAATTTATTTTTTTTACGTATTGACCTGACCTGTAATCCGATTCTGAATCCGTCCCTGCTCCACTTAATACACACATAATTGATCATTTTGAGTGGTTTTCATCCAATTGACCATTTAAAGGATCAAGCTTTTTATATAAAAATAAATAAAAGAATATTACTAGATGCCCTTACTTTTAGTTAAATAAATAAAATTAAACATTTAACAATAAAAATACGAAAAAGACAACTTATTCTACCGATCATAAGTGCATCTCCAATGCAAGTCCATACTTTTCAAATTGTGTCATATAAACAAATTAGAAAGTACAATAAAATTCTTATTAACGAGAACTCTATCAAATAAAAGATATTGAAAAACTTACAATCTATACAACATTTATGTCTAACAAGCAATCAAGTTTAGAATTGATTTCTTTTGCATCTATAAATTTCTATTGAGATATTTTTATTTTTTTAAAAATAATAATAAAACTAAATAAGCTTATAAAATATAAATCCTTCTTGAGTTTGCATGTTTAACAAAAAAATTTAATTTACACGGAACTATAAAAAACAATTTTTTTTCTCTACTGTATCATCTTCGCAGAGTCCATTTTAACATTCATTCGAGATGATTTTTTAAAAAACTTGTTTGATCCCCATTTTTTTTAAAATATATTCTTCATTTTCTTATTTTTAACCACACATTCTTCATCAATCCACTATTTCAAAATATATTTTACATAAAAAAAAAAGGGGGCCCAAACAGATCCTAACACGAGTTCTATTTTGCTTATATGATAATATTTTAAGTAATTCAAGATTGTATTGAATGTTTTATGAGTGGTTGATGAGATGAGTTGACTTGTTTTTTAGTCTCATGTCTTTTTATTTATTTTATTAATTTAACTAAAGTAAGGGTATTTAAAATTTTAGTCTTTATTTCAAAAGTTTTCACAATTTTATCGATTAATTGGATGGAAACCATCTAAAGGAGCAATTACGCTCATCAAGTGAAATGTTAGGGATGCGTGCACCAATACTAAAAAGTTAGGAACAATTTGCACAAAGATTCAATGGGTTAGGGACCATTTAATCTAATTCCCGTTAACCCTGGCCAGATCTTACTCCATTCCCATAAATGGAAGGCAATTTGGGTAGAGTAGTTTGACAGCCCCCCTCACATGGGTGGGATCCGTAATTTTAAAAATCGCGAGCCCCACTCTCACGTGAGAGGTTGTGTACACCAATTCAATAAAAATACACCATCGCCACTGACTCAACTTCAGCGTGATCCTGCTTTCATATCGACCTCCTGCACCGCCACACAGCACTACCTTTAGCCACCGCAATTTCATTAAAATGACTAGGTTACTATATTTCCTCGTCTCAATTCTCCTCATTTTCACCATACTCTGCCCTACCAGCTATCACCGCTGGGATCAAGTCCCTCATGATCATTTCCGACTCCCGGTCCATGATACTCTTCGAGCGGTTCGACTTCACTCACACTGGCCAGGTCACCATATCAGTCTCCTCCGTGTCAGTCATTTCTTCCCTCTCCTCTATTTCTCCTTTCCGAGGAATCCCTAATTCAGGTCCTCGTCGAGCTTCAGTTAAACCCTTCATTTTGCGTGCTCGATTTGAAGTACATTTACCTACTATTCACCTTTTGGGAACTCTCCCCACCATCCCACTCGTCATTCAACCACTCGTACCCCATTACTTCTCCAAATGAATACTCCCTTTTTCTCACAAATTGTGCCCCGAAATCAACTATTTCTATGGACGTCCATACTGAGCTCTACAACCTCGATGACTGCGGCCTCATCAAGGATTATCTCTCTGCTGGCCTTACTCTTTTATCCGGTCTGTATTTCTTCTTTTTCGTGCTCTATTTCACATTTTTGGCGATATGGGGTCACGTTTATTTAAGGAATAAGAAGTCCTTACATCGGATACATGCCGTCATGGGGCTTCTGGTGATTATGAAAGCATTGCATTTAATTTACACTGCAAAGGATAAGCATTATGTGAAGGTTACAGGCACTCCTCATGGATGGGATGTGTTGTTTTACATTTTCCAATTTATTAGGGTAGTCTTGTTGTTCACGGTGATTGTGGTGATCGGTACTGGGTGGTCCTTCCTGAAGCCTTCTTGTAGGAGAAGGAGAAGAGAGCGTTGATTATTGTGATCCCGTTGCAAGTATTGGCAAATGTGGCGTCAATCGTAACTGGGGAGACTGGGCCATTTATTAAGGATTGGGTAACTTGGAATCAGGTTTTCCTGTTGGTGGATATTATCTTTTGCTGCGCAGTTATTTTCCCGATAGTGTGGTCTATTAGGTCTCTGAGGGAGACCTCAAAGACTGACGGCAAGGTTGCAAAAAACTTGGCAAAATTGATTTTTTAGGCAATTCTACATCGTGGTTATTGGGTACTTGTGCTTCACGAGGAATGTAGTGTTTGCGCTGATGACCATCTCAGCCAACAAGTACCAGTAGGTTGCAAATGCAATGGAGGAGATTGCGAATCTTGCATTTTATGTTGTGATCTTTTATGTGTCTAGGCAAGTTGAGAAGAATGCATGGGCGGACCTAGGAGGGTCTTGGGGGCAGGTGCCCCCCCCCCCAACTTTTAAGGTGTTTAGGGCATCGATGGAACTATAAATTTTAATTTAAATCAAACTTAACAATTAATTTTAATAACATATTTCATGAAATCCATAACTATTTAACTTTTATCAAAATTTACTAAAAATTTGATTTTAATCTCCATCAAACTTGGCAAAATCACATTAAATTTTAATTTTTCTCTTTTTTTCTCGTCTTTTAACAAAATCTTAACTATCAATTAAACAAGGACGAAATATTGCATTCTTAATATCATTTCAAGGTGTTCACGGTCTAGTTTTCTAGGTCATTAATGACATACGAAACGATTAATCGTAGCAAATGCTACGACTTATCAATGTAAGCCGTTCAAAATTAGTATTTCGAAAATTTGGATAATATGCTAACTTTAAAAAATTTTCGACGATCGTATACTAATTAAATCTACAAATTGCTTATGTCATCTCAAAGTTCACCTACTAATTCCACTACAATTCATCACCTTCAACACTCTCCATTACACAGCATCAACAGTTCCCCAAAATCGCCACCAACCGTACCTCTACTTCTTCACCACCCCATTGCGTAGCACAACCACCCACAAACCAACCCGCCTGCAATTCCGTTGCTGCCTACCAGAAGAGACGGCGAGCAAAAAAATAACTCTACCCAACCCAAAATCATAGCCAGTTACCACCGAACGCCACCTATTATTTTACAATCGCATGCCTAACACTATTAGCAGAGCTTGGTTGCTGAGCCGCAATTGTAGCTACTATACCGACAGTCGACTCCCAAAAACACACCGCAGAAGTGAAATTGGCCTCGGTTTGGTTTTTGATCAGTATGATTTAAGCTTTGATTTGGGCCCTTCTTGTAATAAAGCTTCAATTTTGGGCCCTACTTGTTAATTTGATCGAGTTTTAAAGTTGGGTCTGTTAAGTTGTTTTAGTTTAAAAAAAAAAAAAAAAAGAGGAAATTACATATTTCCAGACATTTGAAGATCCAAGTGCAAAAATCAGGTGCAAAATTTAATCAAAACTCAGGTATGAAATTAATAATTAAATATTTATATATACAACCCTAAATCAATTTCATCTCGACCTGTTTCATTTTCTCTCTCTCCTCTCTCATATCTCTCCCTCGTGCTCGCCGCCGTCAAGGAGCATCACTGCCGGAGATCCTTGTCTAGAGAAACATTGCTGTTGTAATGAAGAGGAGGACGCGGCGAAGCAGATCCACCGTAGTAGCTCGATTTGGATTTTTCTCCTTCAAGACTACCGCCTGGAATACCCATCGTCGGTGGTGTTGATGTTGGCGGTGCTCACTAGGTGGTGTTGGTCTTGGTCTTGGTGGCGGCATGTTGCGATTTTGTGTGCTGTATGTAGTGGCGGTGGTTACTGTGGTGGCGTCTAATCTCAACCCATCGATCCTTGGCGGCCGGCACAAAACTTATTCTCTCTAATGGCCACCGACGGCACGTCGGAGAGCACAATGGTAGAAGCGGTAGTGTAGTTGGTGGTTCATGGTTGGCAATGATTTTGTGATTTTGTGGTGGTGGTTCATGGTTGGCAGTGGTGGTGATTTTGTGATTTTGTGGTGGTGTTGGATTTAGTGGTGGTAGGGTTGTGGTGTGGTGGTGGTGTATCTGATAGGGTATGTTGGATCTGGTGGTGACGGTGGCGGTGGCAGTGGTGGATCTGGCGGTAGTTGGCTTGGGCATGGTACTGTGTGCAGTAGTTGGCTTGAGGGCGGTGGTGTACTGTCAAGGTGATAATCATGATTGGAGGTGAAAATGGGTGTTGGTTAATTTGTGACCAACCATTTTTTTCTGTGACCTAAAAATTATATAATCTGCGACCGCGAAAGAATCCGTGAGTCTGTGACCGTGTGACCTATAAAATTTGTTCTGTGACCAACTAATTTTGAAATTTGTGACCGACGAATTAATTGTGACCTACAATTTTTTTGATTTGTGACCATTAAATAATCTGTGACCAACAATTTGGAAATGTGTGACTTACGAATAAGCTGTGAACAATTTGTGACCATTAATTCTATAATTATGACCATAATATATTTAATTAATAAATATATTTAATTAATTCACTAATACCTGATTTATGAATTTTGAAACTTAAAACCTCAATATTTATTCGCCTCATTCCAAACACCTGAATTTTGAACTCTTC